CCCTATCATGATAGACACTAATTCCTCCTCTTTTCACTCCCCTCCTTTTAGATTTGAAAAAATATGGCTATCTCTCCCATCCTTCCCAATCTTTATAGTATCCAGTTGGAAATCTTTCACTTTGAAAAATGAAAACCAAGTCCCTCTTCTTCTCAAACTCAAACTCATCAAAAAAAGAATTAAATGGTGGAAAAAAAATCCTGTTTTGGTTCTTTATCCCAGTCCATCTCCAATCTGTCATCTCAAATTCACGCCCTTAACATCTGTGAGGAGTCTAGAAATCTTTCCCCTCAAGAGATGCAGCTTAGATCAGATATGAAAGACCAAATTCTTTCCCTGGCCAAAGCAGAAGAAATAAAATGGAAACAAATGTCTCGTATTCAATGGTTGAAAGAAGGAGATAACAACTCCGCTTTTTTCCATAAGGTTGCTTCATTTCACCGCAGAAAAAATTTTATTCCTCACCTTCTTATCAATGATTCCATCATCTCATCAGATAGTGCCATCAAAGATTCTTTTTTCTCCTTTTTCTCCAATCTATTTGGCCAAGCTCCAGCTTCCAGACTCTCTCCCAACTGGAGTACACTATACCCAAACGAAAACTTTGATCTATCTTCTCTTGACCTTCCCTTCTCTCCCCAAGAGATCTCAGAGGCTGTTTTTGACCTCAATCCTGACAAATCCCCAGGGCCCGATGGGCTCCCCATCCTTTTCTTCCAAAGATTCTGGCCAGTTGTTCAAGCAGATGTGATTGAATTCATTCAAGGGATATATTCTCATCCCCAAAGTTTAAATAACATCAATTACTCTCACATTTGTCTTATACCCAAAAAAGAGGGAGCTTCTTCTCCTAAAGACTTTCGTCCAATTAGTCTTATCAACAGTACTTGTAAGATCTTTTCCAAAATTTTGGCTAATAGACTTAAAAAAGTCCTTCACAATCTCATTGATAATTCTCAGTCTGCCTTTCAAGCAGGGAAATCATCTCTGGACTCTTTTCTCCTAGGTCATGAAATGGTTAACTTCTGTTCATCGGGGAAAAAAGAAGTATGTGCCTTTAAGGTAGACTTCTATAAGGCCTTTGACTGTGTGAACTGGTCTTTCCTTTTGTCCCTTCTCAAAGCAAGAGGCTTTGGCCCCAAATGGTGCCTCTGGATCCAATACATTCTATCCTCTTCAAAATCAGCTGTTCTAGTTAATGGTTCCCCTACAAAATTCTTCCGATGCTTTAGAGGTCTCAAACAAGGAGACCCCTTATCACCTCTACTTTTCCTTTTGGTGGCTGATGTTCTCAGTAAATTGCTGTATCGCAGTGCAGCTTCGGGGGATCTATCTGACCTAAATTTGAAAGGGCAGTTAAATTCCATTAGGTTGATACAGTTTGCGGATGATACCATAATTTTCTCCAAAGCCACCCCCTCTGATATGGCCACCTTAAATGCTATTCTTCACATTTTTGCTAATATATCTGGCCTTCATGTTAATCACCAGAAATCAAACCTGTTTTACCTTGGCAAAATTCCTCACAAAGGGAAAATGCTTGCTAAGATACTTAGCTGTGCAGTCGGTTCTCTCCCATTCTCATACTTGGGACTCCCTCTCAAACGAGGCTCTCTATCCAAAAGAGAGTGGCAACCTCTCCTTGATTCATTCACCAAGAAGCTTTCATTATGGAAAAACAAATCTCTCTCCATAGGTGGAAGGTTAACTCTCCTAAACTCTGTGTTATCTACTCTCCCCTTATACTACATGTCTTTTTTTAAGCTACCTCAGTGGTTAATCAAGGCGATAGACAGAATAAGAAGAAACTTTCTTTGGAATGGAAGCCACAATCCCTCAAAAATCAAATGCATCATAAACTGGGGTAAAGTCTGTAAATCCAAAGATGAAGGAGGTCTTGGGGTTCTAGACATAGCAAATTTCAACAAAGCTCTCCTATCTAAATGGCTATGGAAAATTTTTGATAGAAATTCTCACATCAGCAAAGTCTTTTTCTCTGTCTACTCCAAAGATGGGTTTAACCCCTTTGCTCATCCCATTAAGAGCACGGCCTCAAGTTTCTTCAAAGACCTATCCTCCATTCAAACAACTTTTTTCAACTTGGTTAAATGGAACATTGGTGACGGAAGAACTGGAAATTTCTGGCATGACAAATGGTCCTCAGAAAATTCCCTATGCAGCTTATTTCCAAAAGCTTTCAACTTAGCTCTCTCACAGAGCTGCTGTATCAGATCCCAAGGAAGAATGATTAACAATGCTTGGTCATGGCACCCGCTCACTAGAAGAGGTATTTCACTCTCAGAAAGGTCAGATCTCAACCACCTCCTCTCCCTTCTAACATCTTCAAATATAAATATCACTTCGGAACCAGATGAACTCTGGTGGATGCTCCTACCATCGGGGACTTTCTCAGTTAAGTCCCACTTCGGAACCAGATGAACTCTGGTGGATGCTCCTACCATCGGGGACTTTCTCAGTTAAGTCCTATTACTCCTTCGTCAATGGATGCTCCTACCATCGGGGACTTTCTCAGTTAAGTCCTATTACTCCTTCGTCAACTCAGGGGGCATTATATCCAAATATTCAAAATTGATTTGGAAATCTCCTATTCCATCCAAGGTGAAAGTGCTATTCTGGATCATCTCTAATAAGAAACTGAATACGAAAGCAAATCTGATATACAAGGGTTGGGCAGGCGATCCGAGATGTGCTTTTTGCAAATCGGAAGTAGAAACACACGAACACATCTTCATTAAATGTTCCTTTGCTCGTGCTATATGGTCCATCATCCTTCCCTCTGTTCCAACATTCTGCTGGCCAGAGACCATAGAGGAGCTGATAATGTTCCACAAATCTCCCAATCTATGTTCGGACATGAAAACCATTTGGAGAATTCTGCTACCCTGTTTTTGCTGGTGGATTTGGTTCAGTAGAAATGTTCTTATTTTCAAGGATAGTCAATCTAATCCTCTTCACTTTTGCTGGTGGATTTGGTTCAGTAGAAATGTTCTTATTTTCAAGGATAGTCAATCTAATCCTCTTCACGTAGCTTCTAATATTGGGAGATATACCATATTTTGGACAGGCGCTGCAGATGAGAGGCTTGCAAGGAGACTGCGTAGGGCTGCATCTAACATCGGACTTCAGGAGCTTGCTAACAGGATTGTCAAGGCAGATGGGGACAACCTCACACCAAGCTCCCCAACTCAGAACTCTCCATAGCTGCTGCGGGATAAGGACACCCCCCTTATTGTGGAAATCTGTAGTTGCTTCTCTTATCAACTAGGTTGCTATATTTTGAAAACTGTTTCTGCATCCATTACTTTGGAAAACTGCTACTGTTTGTTGTTCTAGCAGGTTGCTCTTTATCCTCTTTTGTAATTATGTATTTTGCACCAGCTACCTAAGTAGCATCGATGTGGGTACAGTTTGGTAGGTGACGACATATGTCCGCTCCTTACCTAGTGCATTCTCACTAGTTTTACATCTAGTTTGTGATGCTCGTTTGTATTTGTTTTTATCTTTGTTTCTAAATAATAATAGTTTTTTATGAGCAGGGCTTTTAACCCTGCTTTTTCAGCTCAAAAAGAAGCCCAGCCTGTTGCATATGTCCATGCCACTGCTTGCACATACAAATACTTCTCTGTGATTTCAAGCATAATCTAAGGAATTTTTGTTTTAGTCACATGACAATAGAAACTTGATTGAAATATATAGTCACAAGGTACGAATTTACTTAACGAATATATTTTTTTTCTTTCTTCTAAAGACGAAAGTGAGCCGGGATTTGATATTTCTATGTTATCAGGGTCACCACCGCCTGCAGAATCTAACAAAAGAATAATAAGAACTCATCCATAGCCAATGTGCCAATGTAGAGAAAAAGTCCATTGAACTGCTAGATATTATAGGTGAAAGTAGTGGCGGAGCTACATGGTGTCCAGTGGTGTCACATGCACTGGATGTTGTGCGCGGCGGAAGCCTCGATGCGACACGAACAATCCAAGAGATAAATCACAACTAATAAGCCAAACACAATACCACACCAAGACAACGAGTTTAACGTGGTTCGGCAAGTTGCCTACGTCCACGGGGTAAGGAGAGGAGACTTCTTACTATTAGAAATCAAGAGAATACAAATAGAGTTACAAATATCCCCGATCAAACCCTAAAACAAAGCTCTAGATCTCTCACAAATCTCCCACAATTGGATGCAATAATCCTCTCTCAAAGACTGCTCAAAAACGTCCTTACCTTAACCCTAATTAATCAGGTTTAGGGTTATATATCAACTCAGAACGAACCGGGTCAAAAACCAAGGCCCAGCCCAAAATCCACATGCGGTCGACCGCACGAAGCTCGCGGTCGACCGTCGACCAAACACCCCCGACAGAGAACCTTAATCCTACAGTCAAACTCGCGGTCGACTGTGATGGCCGACCGAACTGATTTCCCGAGAGATAATCGCCTACAGGGTCCCCACGGTCGACCGCCACGGTAGACCGCCTTCAGCTCCGAATCCCACTGGCCTTCGTGCACGTTCGCGGTCGCGCCTGTCTGCCTGGCTGAATCTTCTGCTGATTTTCTGCACTCTCTCTCTCCATTTCTTCACTGGATCGCCTGCATTTATTTTCTGCTTCTGACACCACTGGGATTTAGGCAAGACACCGTTGGAGAGGATATTGAAAGATTACCTGCTTCAATGAACTCATAAGTTTTATATATAGTGACAATAAATCTTGGCTCCACCACCGGGTGAAAACATATTGTAAATAGTACTGGAATTTTACAGTGTAACACAATATTGAGCAACATTGCTATATATCATGGGAAACCAAGCATCAGTTGATCAACAATCTGTTATTTCAATAGCCTTCTTATAGCCTTTGCTGACTCACCCATTAATTCAACTTCTCTCGCCTGCAACAATATATGATGGCGATAGAAGAACATTCATATATCATCATACTAATTAAAAGAAGTTTGATATATAAGCGAAGTTAGAGTTTACATACTTCTAGTCTAAAATTTTCAATCCATACATAAAACTTACATACGTAGAAGTCTAATGAGAGCCTAGAATAGAGAAAGGACCTAAAACCTGTAAAACAACCAATCGATTGAACTACATCTCCCTGGATTTTGGCTCTAGAAAGCTCGCCTTCACCGCGTCGAGCTCGTTTCTTCCATCGAAGGCGTCGTGAGGAGAATCGACGACCAACGTCCCTTGACGCCTATTCTCAAAGTTGACAGATATAGCTCTTCCTCCTGATCTCTGCCACCATTCTTTCCCGTGCTTCGACCTCACCCCTTCCAGCTTCGACCTCATCTCGTCGTATCTCCGATTATTAGCCTCGCTTTTGCTATCTCTCTTCGGGTAGTTGTACACGAACACCTTACCTTTGGTAAGAAATCTGTACCACATTTTATTTTTTTTCTCTGGGTCGTAAATAAACACAGCCGAGTTCCTGATCTTTGGAGCAGGAGAAGGGCATGCGTTGCTGCATAAATCAACATGGGTGTGGTTACACGTCCAAACCCTCATCCTCCTTCCGATCTGATTGCTGCTGATATCGCATATCGTCTGCGTCGCCCACTCTTGATCACCAACATGACACTTGCTCAACTCCAAGGAAGACTCGTTCACTCGGTATATGACGATCACGGTGCACTCTCGTCGAGTAGGAAGGTACGCGAAAGTGCAAGCGTAATCGCCGCTTACACTGAGTTTCGGGAGGTTGATCCTTGAGAAAGTAAATGGATTGTAGAGGAAGAAGAACTGGCCATGGTGAGCGAGCAACCAATCGAACTTGGATTCGACGACGACGGCGCCCTCGAGATCGGGCAACTTAAACGTGCAGCACTGCGGCTGAGATTGGCTGTAGATGTAGCATTCAAGAGTGCGTGCTTTCTTCTTCTCTAGCTTATAGAGAACGAGCCATGGTTCACCTTTGGAGAAGCTGATTAGTTCGGATCGGCCAGAGGGAGACGATCGCCATTGTTTGCAGACGCTACGGAATCTTACGAAGTCGTCGAGAGGCAGGCGATCGGAGATGCTCTCCAAGATGTCGGCGGGCATCGTAGACCAGTCAGGACCTCGGCGCCTACGGTTGAAGATAAATCTCAACATTGCGAACATGTTTTTATTTTTATTTTTTTGGCAGATTTTACGACTTAATTACAATTTAAAGGAGGTTTTGAGGAGGAGGAGGTTTGCTTTTATATAAGTAATTTACTTCTTCACGCATTTAGTTTTTTTTTTTAATACTAAACACACGTTTGGAGATTAAGTGCTTAAGTAGAAATAGGAGAGAAAAAATTCAAATCAATTTTATTGATCGATATACTCACCTTTGAAAGGTTATTCGATAAGGCAATAACTTTCAAAATATCAGAAAACTCTCCAGTGATTATCATAAAACTCCCTTTCATTTTAAGATTTTATCTAAAAGTTCCGTAGCGATTTTCATATTTTAGTGGGGTAAAAATGTAGATTAATATCTTTAGAGGAAAACAAACATATTAATTCATGGCTTCATCGCGTTAACGGTGAGGGGAAAAAATTTAATGCCTCTGATCGTTCAATGAGAATTCCTTGAATAATATAGAAAAACTGTATAGCCTAGAAATAAATAATAATAATAATAAGTAGATTATTCCCACGACAATTTGCAACAGCTTTTTGCTTCTTCTTTTTTTTTTTTTGTAGTGGAGGTACCGTCAATATATATTGTACATCATGTCATTTATAAACCTTAATTTATTTTATTTTATTTTTACATATATACAGAAATTAGTAATAAGTTAAATTTCTGGTTTTTTCATTGCTACTAATTTAGATAGAATTCTGGTTGTATCTTTACTATTATTTATGTATTCAGTTTTAATCTGTTAGTTTGTTTTACATATACCAACTGAAAAATCTTTTCTTTCCTTTTTTTGTTTTTGACGTACGGAGTCTATCTTTATGAAAATTTTCAGCTATATCACATGGCCGAAACATTTTTGTAAAGTTGAGATAATTTAATAGGTGCTCCCAAATTAAAGTTTTTTACCATTTTTAATTTGATAAAATAATTAAAACTGTCTAAAAATATGGAAGGGTATTTTTGTCCGACCTACTTACATAATTTCCTAATTATCCTCGTCCAATACCGTTTCTTTGTTCCCTAATTATCCTCCAATATCATTTCTTTTGTTTTTTGTTACTTCTCGCAAGTTAAGTATTTCTTTGACGCTGACAAAAAATTCTTCTGGAACCTAAAAATTTAGCATATACCTAAAAAATTGAAATTCACCTACTTTCCTAAAAATTTAGCATATACCTAAAAATTGAAATTCTTTTTCGCGTTTGCTCTCAAGGGAATGAATATATGTGTGTGTGTGTGAAGATATTTTTTTTCCTTTCTATAACATTAACCAAGTTGTTTAATAAAAGAAATAAAAACATAAAAAGATAGAAAATAAAAAAGATATAGAAGAAATAAAAGAGAATTAATCACTTATATTTAACATGGTGTATGAGGAAAATTAGATTTTTTTTTTGCAAAATGAATCACAAATAAGAGAAATAAAAGACAAAAAATAATGCAATACATGAATAAGTTTTGGAAGAGTTTATAGTTCAAAAGCAATAAGAAACAAAGAAGGAAGAATGCTAGAAAAGGACGGAAAAAATAGAGAAGCGTTCATTAGTTGTATAGTTGTAACTAATCACAAATTATATTTCTCTTCTTATTTATACTTCCTAAAATAACATTTTTATCTAAGTGAAATTACTCTTTTGGGTGTGAAACTCCTCTCAACTACCTTATCCCTCAAATTTAGGATGTGAGAGAGATTTTTAAGGAAACAAACTACACCAACCGCTTCCGTACTCAATTGGAACACCAAAGCTGTTGGCAATTTAATATAGTATATATTCGATGATTATGAACTTAAAAAAAGAAAATATGCATTCAAAACTTAAAAAAAAAAATTATTCAAATTATCATTAGCAAGTATTTCACGTGAATATTGTGAGATTGAGAAATCCACTCTTCAAAGAGCTTGCAATTTCAAAACGTCATCTCGCATTCAAATTGTGTATCAATTGTGAATAACGTGGTGAAATTCGGTTATGCAATCTTTTTCAGAAAAGGAAAAAAAGAGAACTTCTTCCGACATTAGTTTAAAAGGACTTGAATGAAACAATATGCGGGGGGCTAATAGCAACTGAAATACTATGAGGGACTAAATTTGAAATGAAAGAATTCGACGACTTATTGCAGACTGACCCTCTGTAGTATCTATATTTTGACCTCTCTAGCCCTCTAGTTATAGTTTTGTTCTTGCAATTCTCACAGGGTTAACTGGGAAACAGACCCCCCCACCCCCACTAGTTTTGTTATTTTGAACTTACCACCCCTCTAGTTTTGTTGTTGCAAATAGAGCCCCAACTGAGATTTTTTTCACTTTCAACCTCACAGGGTCTGCTTATCAAATAGGTAGCCTTTTCTTCTTTCGTAGAGGGCAATTTATCTATCAAGATACGTTAACAAATTCTACATATATTATCTATTTAATTGTCAAGTAGATGATTATCATTCTTCACCTTGTAGTAGCTGATCCTTGCTTACCGCAACATAGCTCATGCTTAATTTTGCCGATATTGATTTTTTTTTTTTTTTGAAATTCCAAATTTTGAAAATTGATCCTTTTATCAAGGCCAAAAATGAAAAAAAAGGGGGTTGATTTGGTGAAGAGTACTACAATGTGCGGAAAACATGACTGTATTTCATCTATCACTGGAAATTATGTGCATATTGGTTTTGATGTAATCGCCTGATATGGACGTAATTAGAATTCATCATGTTTTTTTTTCTGGGAGAAAAAGTGAGCAAGTATCCATACATTCCGTTAATAATTAAGAGTCTGTATTTTATAGAAAAGTTTTGAGAAACACCTGACAATTGCGTTATCATAAATAATAGATTTCTGTAGATTTTCACAAACAGTGTTTGGTTCAACATTGAATTTACAAAAAAGTTTTCTGTAAAGTACATAAATCCGTACAACTTTACAGAAATTGTTTTCCACTCAAAATGGACGGAAATTGCAAGGAAATCTGACGCAAAATATTAAAACATTAATTAAGCTCACCAGTATCATTCCCATGTGATTTCTCATGGACACTGTTGGAAAGCTATTTTCTATATATAAAATATATCTAACCAAACAAAAAAAAACAACAACATATTTTTAATAAAGTTAAAAACTTTTTCATACTTTGAACCTAACAAAAAAATAGCAAAACAACAAGAAATACGATACTCTTCGAGTTCTATAAATTATTCCTAAAAACTTTATAGAAATACGAGGAAATGTATATTCTGGGTGTTCTCCTCTTCCTATAATTTATAGAACCCTAATGAGAAAACCGACAAGCCTAAAACCAAAAGAAAACCTGCGGCCAGCATCTCTCCCACCGCGCGGCTTCGGCGCCGTTCAACGAGACCGCTCGCTTCGGCCCAACCCGCCATCGAGCCAGCCTTCTCTCTGTCGACTGCGGGCGGCCCGACCACCAACCGTCCTAATCATTCTTCGCTCCCGCGAAGCTGCATCCACGACGCCTCCGCTTCGACAACACTCTCTCTCTAGTCCCGCGGCTCCGCGTCTTGTCCCTCTGCTTCGCTAGTATTCAGCCTGTTCAGCTCCTCGTTTCGAATTGGTCGAAGACGAAACAGTCTTCGCAATTCGCGACGAATTAGTAAACCAACATTGCGTTCCTCTTCTACGGGACAGGGAAATGAAAAACGTGCTGTAATCCTCGGAGGTGCGCACCACACCGCCTGCACAGACCCACCGGGCCCCCTGTGGCCTGCAGGTGAGAGACCCTCCCACGGCACACTAGACCAAGATCTCGATCGGACTGCTAAATATTTACGGCAGATCGCCTGAGTAGCCACCCCTCGCGCCGCCGACGCGGCCACGTGCTCAGCCTCCAAGCGGCCCGACCCGCTCGTCCGCCTGCGGCTCACGACGACCGCCGGTGCACTCCCTTAGGGTAGGGAGGTAGGCAAAGAACAGGCCCGCCTCCAACACGCCCGCCGCTTACGTTGAGCAGCCGGAGCTTCAGGGAGCGTTGACTCTCGAAAAGTGAGCGGTGTAGAAGAAGAGAGCGATCCGCCTATGCGGGCGAGCACCCAGCCGCAACTTGGATTCCACGACCGACGGCGCCCTCGAGCCGCCAGCCTTATCGCGCCAGACAACCGTAGGTGGATCGGGCGTAGATGTAGCATTTTAGGGGCGGCCCGCCTCTTCCCGACGTCCGCCCTTTTCCTGGCTCGCTAGAGGATGAGCACGGCTCGCGCTCTGGAAGAAGGCGCACCCAGCTCAGCGAGCCGATCCGACGGAGACGACCGCCACTGTTTGCAGGACGCCGACGGAATCCTAACGAGTCGACGAGAGGCCAGAGGCCGGTCGAGAGGACATTCTGCTAGTATGTCGGCGGTGGCATCGGCGGACACAACTGCGGCTCGTCGTGCCCACGCAACGATTGACGAGAAGCCTGAGGCATCGTCTCTTTATTTCCCTTCTTTTCTTGTCTTTTCGTCTGTTAGCTTGTTGTTGGCTGAAATTAAAGCATCGAGAAGGAACCTTGCAAGAAGATATAATATAATGAACTCTGCATCATTGCGTGAGAAAATAATTCAGGGGAGGTTAAGATGTATTTATTTACATAGTAAAGAGATAATTAAGAAAATTGTGTCCCTATAAATAGAAGAAATTAAACTTTGTTTCAACCCCAAATAGAAGAAATTAACAACACTTATCTTTATCTTTTAACAACACTTATCTATAAGATCAAAGCATATGTTTCAACCCCAAATAGAAGAAATTAAACTTTGTTTCTAATTTTTTAAATTTTTGGGGTCGTTTCTTTTTTTAAAATTTTAAGGTCTGTTTGCAAGTTGTTAGTTTTAAGGGTTTTTTTTTAATTATTTATGTTCAATGGGATATTTGTTATTTTTGATTTTTTTTTTGAATGCTGTTTGTAATTTTCTAACATGTTTTGCTTAAATTTATTGGGACAAAATTTTTTAATTTATGGATAGTTATGATTTAATTAGGATTATAGAATATTTGATTATTAGAATTTTTTGAAAGTATTTTGGATATTTCTATTAATTTTACAGATGACTTGTTTTTTGTATAAAGTATTCAAATTACGTCTTTTTGGTATTTTTACGAGTTTGTGCAAATTCAATTGATTTTGGTATTTTCTAGCACTCACGCAAAATTAATATTTTTCTCCTTAATTATGAAAATAATTTACGAGGTTAGCATATTTCATAAGATATCATCTATTATCTTTATTTTTAAATTTACATATAAAAAATAAATGCTAAGTTACGAGTTCTATTTTTTCCCCCCTTGTTAGCTACCAAATTCAAATCTTTAGATTGTTAAAATTTTAAATATTTATCTGATTTCTCTAATAAATAAATTTTGTAAGTTTTGAAATAATCTATCTTGTAATTTCTGAAGAAGTGGCCAAACGAGGAGGTTGAACAATTATATATAACTTAATATAATTTTTAACAAAAATAAAACAGATTATTGAAGTTTATATATATTGGCTAAAATTAATTAGAATAGAATATGACAATGTAAAATTTGAAGAAGTGGCTAAACGTGGATGTTGAGCAATTATCTATAATTTAATATAGGTTTTAACATAGTTAAATCAAATCCGAGGATATGTAATATTAATTAATTAGGATAAGATAGGATAATTGAAGCTTATACCTATTAATTAAAAATCAATTAGAATAGAATATAACAATACTATATCTAAAAGGATGAATGCTATTATTTTTGTCCATGAAATGTTTTGTCCCGAACTCCCATTTTTAAAGGAAGTATGGTTTTAAACTGAATATGATATTCATACTGCTAGCTATATATTTAATTACATATAACTTTGTTTTTACATATCTTGTGATTCACTGGAGAGATAAATTAATTCACTACAAGCTGCTTACGAGACATTGTAACTATTTTCAGAAGCAATATGAAGTATGATTATCAAACAACTAGTTTTGTCGACTTAAATAAGTTTCTTTCTATAAACCCCAACATTATAAAACTAACACTACATGCATCCCTCTGTGTTTGTGGAAAATAAGGATGATAACTATAAGTCTATATCGACATGCTTTTTCACCAAGTGGTTTATCTTTCACGTTTAAAAATTCACAAGTAGCAGATTTCCATCCTATTTTGAAGATAATTTATTTGAAATGTTTTTGGCTATCAAATTGTTTACTTTACAGAGATTATTTCCCTACTTTTCTTCCCAATTAATCAGGTAATTTTGCAATTTTCGACTAAAATATATAATTAGCATTTCATTTAATTATAGATAAGGGTAATTTTGTGAATGTAGATTATAAAAATTGGTAAATGAAATAAAGTGTTCTGCGTCCCGACTTATTTGCGCAGCCAAAACGATCCCTATCCTTACTTTGTTTTGCCGTATCTTGTGGGCCAAGTCATGGGGATGATCTTGACATGAAATGACAAGACAAGTTGTGAACATCCATTTAAAAGTAGGGGAATTGTATATTGGCCCCTTACATTATTTTTAATTGGTAAATAGTCCCTCAAGTGTGGTTATTTTGCTTATTACTCGTTTATATCTTTAGTTTTCTTGTCATATGGTCCTTCTTTTAGAAAAAAGTGTTAACTTCTCTAACTCTAATTAAGTTAATGCTAAATGTAACAATACATGTCACCTTATTACTCTTGGTTATACAATTTCCTTCTAAGTTTTGGGTTTAGAGGGAAGCTAGTCATGGTAACGACCTCAATTTGGGGTTTAGGGGAAGTACGAGACCATTGAAGAACAAAAAAAAAAAGTAGATTTGAGTGAGTATAGGTTAGGGTATAATTGGTATTCTACCTAATTCTATCATATTTAATAGTCATTAATAACACTACCAAACACGAGGGATGGATTAGCAAGAAACTTAATGAGTTAAGGGGCTAATAAGCAAATTTGTGGGGGACTATCTGGCAATTAAAGATGATGCAGAGGGCTAATATGCAATTAACGATTTAAAAATTAGATGGATCTTGATATTACATGAAGAGATGTAACATCAAGAGATATATATTTCAATGAAAGTTTTATTTGCTAATCAACATATATAGAGATATTTGTTTGTCCATGAGTTTTTCAAGTTCAAGCATAATAGATTCGTGGAATTATGTACGTTACAAATATCAATATACAGAGAAGAAATACAGATATCAAAATTTTGACTGACATCATAATGTTTTTGTTGATGCACGGATATGTAACGCGAGATTCATGGCTGATTCTAAAAAGCTTAGAATCCTTTGACCTCCTTTAATGTCCGATCCTCTGATAGGAGGAGCGCCCTACACACATGCAACACGTTAGAGGAGCAAAGTTGGGTTATCCGGTGATTCCTATGACAATCAAGTTAGTCACCAGCTGAATGGATCAAGGAATTGATTAGTAGGCGATGTGTCTATTTATACCCAGCTAACGAGGGCATTTATGTAACTTCGGACGAGTCCAATCGGTCAACTTATTTGGCTGATACTTTATAGATGTCGGTTATGGGTGGCATGAGTTACCTACGCGATTAATGCGATGGTGACAGAGGGTCCCAGGTGTTGTCATGGTCCGAGGAGTCATTAAGACTTTTCGGCAAGGGCGTAATGATGACTCCAACCTTGCATTTAATGTAATGGTGCTTGGTTGTCGGCATGGGGTTTGAGAGAGACCGCCTTTCAACTCGGCTCTGCGAGAGGGACGAAAAAGGAGACCTTTCGTCTCGGCCCTCAAGGGAGATGAGAAGGAGCACCTTTCATCTCGGCCCTCAAGGGAGACAAGGAGGGACGTCTTTCGTCTCAGCCTTCGAGAAGCTGGTGTGCCCCGAGTCAGTGTGTAGTTTGTTTGAGACACACTTCAACCAATTGAATACAATTAATATTTGCTTATTTCTATAGCACAATACTAGTCCCTTTGGCTCGAACTCTGGTGGCGAGTCCGCGTGAAATTGAACTTCGTCCTTTGGGTTTACTTTGAAATGACACCAATGTCTTGGGTATTGGACTTCGAATGCCACCAAGGTCTTAGAGTCTTTATTGTCGAGTCGATGAAGATCGAGTTGCAGGAGCTACATACAGATTAGTACACAACCCAAAAAAATTATTATCTACAGAAGGGTCTTTATAATTTAATTATATTTTGCGGAGATACTCTACGAAATGTTTTATGTATTATGATAGCCATGTCGTTTCTTTAGCCTTACTCTTCATTTAATATTTAGCAAAATTTCTTAACTGTCATAGCGTTTAAGCGACAGTAGCAGCTTCTGATTCTGAGATCCGAAGACAGGGGATCGATCGCTTCTTCAAAAAGAGATGAAGATGCCCTAATGTGGGTTACCAAACCCTTACTTATTTCCTCCACTTAACACATATATCGACTTAACTATCGGAGGAACCATCGGAGATCCCAACTCCGATCCTCTCTTGTGTTGTTTGTGTGCAGGAGTGAATCCTCTGCTGCATAAGCAGCCATCGAAGAAGATCAATGAATCCTAAAACCGAACATAATCCGCACTAAAATTTACTCTTTGATAACAGACATCATCAGCTAGCTTTGTATATGAAATTGCTTCTTTTTTTTTCTTCTGATGATTTTTCCATTACAACATGAATGATATTTAAACTTCGACGATTGATATATTCCAATATATTCAACTAGTTTGCGGTCTGTGCAAAGCACGGTATTTTTTTTGCTACAGTAATTCCGTTTTTTTTAATATGCATGATTTGAATTTTTTGGAGTGCTACAGTATCCCGCTCTGCTACAGTACCTTTTAAATGTTACAGTATACCCGTGTGCTACAGTGACATTTTTAATTAATTATTAGCTACAGTAATCATGTTACAGTAAATGCTACTGTAGCATAAACAGTGAATCTTTGATCCTCCTATTTGTGTAAAGGAATAGATTCCCTTCCCGTCAAACTTATAAAAAAAGAAAGTAATAAAATAAACTACGATAAAAATTAATATCTACCGTCACAATTCACGGAGGAAATTATGGGATTCCATCCGGTAAAAATTACAGCTGTCAAAGCAATTCCAAAAATAACATGTCAAAAAAATGAATATCCACCATCACCTTTCACGGAGGAAATTATGCTTCTGCTCACAGTGAAAATTGCAGCTGTCTGGACAATTCCGAAAATACCCCTAAACGGTCCTCCCACGTCCTCGACCCCTCAATCAAGCAGCGCACGAATCGCAAGGCAACAGCCTCAGAAATCACCGCCGTCCAAATCTGGTTTGTTTTGTTCTGCACCATCTCGACCACCGCCACGTGCCGGTCGCTCGAGACGGATCCTTTGGCGGGGAACCGGTGTCAATCCCGCGCAGCGGAAGCTTATATTACCCAGCACCGCTAAAACCATTAATTACCGCAATTATTACAAAAAAATAAAAAAAAATAATAAAATAAAAAAAGAAGAGAGGAGAGAGAAAGTGACTGTCTACTGTGAGAGATAGACTGAAGTCTAGAGAGAGAGAGAGAATCTCAGCTATGTGTTCTTCCTCGTCGTAAAAAAAGAGGGGGAAAAAAAAGAAAAAGAAGGAAAAAAATGTTCTCGTCGCCGATCAGAAACCCTAGCCTGGGGTTTACGCCGACGGATTTTCTAATCCCGGTCGGTATTGCTATTTTTTTATATTTTTTTGAAAACAGTTATTTTTGCACCGAATGTTAAAATTTTCTGTTCTGTTTTTAGAAAGAGGAGGAGGTGGAGATGGCAGCGACGACGGGGGGATCGAAGGAGGAGGAGACGGAGAGCTGTCACGCGGACGGCACGTGCGGCGGCGAGGTCGCCGGCGAGGAGGGGAAGAGGAAGCGACACCACCGACATACTGCTCGTCAGATTAAAGAGATGGAAGCGTAACCATCGTCGTCGTCGTCATCATCTTTACGAAAAATATTATTATTATATTATACTAAAATTTTAGGCTAATTAGCACTAAACTACCTTATAGTTTGCGGGACTTTGCGTTTATGTACCCTCACTTGTTTTTTCGTCGCACTTATATACCTTCCGTTGTGCGAACGTGAGAATTTTAAACAAACATGATGGTTAAAAATAGCGTAAACTTAATAGTAATTTTAAACAAACATAATGGTTAAAAAATTATAAAATTATTTTGTGAGTGTCGCGTAGAAAATCCGAATTAAAACTGTTACATTTGCGCAACATAAGACATTAAAATGCGACTTTTAAAATGTAAGGTATTTAAACTCTAATTAGCCTAGTTTTTATGGGTAAATCACGGTAAACGCGAAGAACTTTAAGCCTTTTGTAGTTATTGGGTGTTTAGTGTAATTTTAAAAGATTTGGGTGTTTACTGCAAAATGCAATAAGTCCTTGGGGGCTTCGGTTCCGTGTAAAAGAAGTTAACGGTCTAGTCTGCAGAAATCCCTGTGTGAGATTTCGACGGTTGTCACTCCAGCGACACAAATAAAACTGTTTAGTCTAATTAAATAATTTCTTCTTTTTTTTTGTTCTAAAAGTGTAGAATAATATTTGAAATATTATTTTTTAGTCAATTTGTACTTGTTAATGCAGGTTGTTTAAGGAGTGTCCGCACCCGGACGACAAACAACGGCAGAGGCTGAGCCAAGACCTGGGCCTCACGCCCCGCCAGGTCAAATTCTGGTTCCAGAACCGGCGCACCCAGATGAAGGTGCGCGCTCTAGCATGCCCCTCCTTTTCCCACTACCATGCGCCCCATCAGCTTGTTAAAATAAAAAAAAATGTCAAATCTAATTAATACCTTTATTATGATTACCCTTGTTACGTGTTAGTCTCAGCAAGATAGAGCGGAAAACGTGATTCTGAGAGGGGAGAACGAGAGTTTAAGGAGCGAGAATTTCCGGCTGCGGTCGATGATGAGGGATGTGAGGTGTCGGAGCTGCGGTGGGCCCGCGGTGCTCGGTGAGATGCCGTGCGGTGGTGACCGACATCTCCGGCTTGAGAATGCTCAGCTCAAGGACGAGGTCGATCTATCACAATCTTCCACATGTTATTAAGGAAGTAATATGTTGGGATCAATTGAAATAACAAGTATATTTATAATATAATAATCACAACATGTTATTAGAAGTAAGTGTACTTATGACCTTGCTTTGAAAAAAAAAGGAAAATGATATAGGCACACCTTGTGCCACACCACCTCTTTTTGCTACAGTGCACTGGGCCTCACATGAGATTTTTTTTCATGTGAGCCCCGTGCACTGTAGCAGAGAGAGTTAGTGTGACACAAGGTGTGCCTGGTGGTGTGCCCGTAGTGCCACCCAAAAAAAATGTAACCAATGATGGCTAATTAGTACGTTTGGGAAAGGACAAAATAACTAACTCATCCTTGCAGGCTTAAAGCTTAAAGAGGCTTAAAGCTTAAAGGACGAGTGAACCCTTAATTTCCCCCCAAAAGTATCAATTTTATATAATTTGCTCCTTAAACTATGTTTGTGGGTTTAATACGGTCATTTTGTAAGCCCACTATCAAATAGTTAACTGATTAATGACATGAAGGTGTTTCCTTGCATTTCTTCATGGGCTTTTATTAGTCGTCTCCTTTTTCTCTAGACCAAAAAAATTACTTAACTACTTTATTTCTAAACTTTTTGCTCTTTATCCCTTTTCTGAAATTTAAAAAACATTTTAAAAATTGCATAAATACAAGAGATGCCAAAAAAAACATCATTAATATGTTAAATGTTTGGTTGTGGGCTCACAAAATGACTACACACATAGTTTAAGGGGAAAATAGACAAATTGATACTATAGGGGGAAGTTGAAAATTCACCAATACTTGAAGGGGTATTGATCATTTTGCATGGTTGAAAATATATTTTCAACTACAACTAACCAAATGCATCCTAATACTCTTCCTCTTCTCTATGTCAACAGCTCCAGCATTTATCCTGCATTGTCGACGCCGACCCTCTTCTAGCTCTTAGCCCTGCACCCCTACTCATGCTGCCATCTCCAGACCCTGACATGAGCATCTATTCAAGGCACTTGGGGGAGCTCCAGATGGTCCCGGTCCACACCATTACCAAGAACCACCCAAAGCTCGGTGGGCCCATAATCATGGACCAGGACCAGGGACCAGCAATGGAACTAGCAACGACTGCATCCGAGCACTTGAAGAGGTTGTGCAGCATTGGAGAGCCTCTGTGGATTAACAATAATAATTTTGGAGGAATTGTGGAGGTCTTGAATGTGGAGGAGTATAGAAAATCTTTTCATTGGCCTGTTGAGCTTAAGCAGGAGAGTGGAGAATTTAGGAATGAGGGCACAAGGGATTCTGGGCTTGTGATGATGAATAGTGTGACTTTGGTTGATGTATTTTTGGATGCTGTGAGTTTGAATTTCTTACGATTTTAGAAACGGGTTATTAATAATGATGGTGATTATATATTTGACACATGTTTTTGTTGTGTTTCTTTTTCCAGAATAAGTGGATGGAGTTGTTTTCTTCAATCGTCTCCAAGGCAAGAACACTTCAGATTATAAGTTCTGGGATTTCTTGCCATGGCAATGGTTCCCTTCATCTGGTAATTATTGTATTTTTCCTATTTATTTCTGTCGAATTCAGGATCATCCATGTATAACTAAATAAAGAAACCCCTGAAATTAGTATCTTTACAAAGTGTTATTTTAAGGTATTTTTCTTTTCTCGTGAAAAAAACATGCTTACATGAATAGCCATGTGATGTTATTTTTTCTATATATCAAATTAAATACTTGTATATTTTGGTGGGAAGCAATCCTTATATAAATTGATGATAATGTATAACAAAACCTAATAAAAACATGTTCTTATATTCAACTTAAGACTTTTTTAGTTTAATAGATGATAATGGTTTTCTGCGAAATGCAGTATACATAAAGTTTTTTTAATAATAATTTTCCCTTTTTGTTTAGGAGTTATATATTGCCATTATTTAACTTTAAATTTGTTAATTTTCAACGCTACGCAGATGTATGCAGAGCTCCAAGTTCTTTCTCCTTTGGTGCCTACTCGAGAGGCACACTTCCTTCGGTATTGCCACCACAATGCAGAAGAGGGAACTTGGACAATTGTTGATTTTCCCATCGATCGCTTGCATAATGGGTTTGACATCCCTCTCCCTCGCTATAGAAGGAGACCATCAGGATGTATCATTCAAGATATGCCCAATGGCTATGCAAGGGTAAGTAAATAGTCCACATCAATTATTTGCTCTATTTAAGTTCTATTTAAGTTTGGTCTTGCTATTAATCAAGTAGATATAAATATATAGAATATTATTTATGACCCTTTAGATGGTATAATATTTAAATCAGGCTTTTATGATTAAAATAACTTTAATTTGTCTTGAAATGTAACATAGATTTTGTTGGTTAACATGTATGCATAAATGTATAGTTAACGAATAGATGCTTGATACTTGTCAATACATAGTCTATGTTTTATGTCAAACTATTGGATTGTTGATTGTACAATTTTTTTGTTTAATTACCTCTTGGTACATCCACATAATTTATTTATATAAGTATAGCATGCACTACTGAAACTATAATCATAAAGTCTAAATTAAAATATATGTCACTTATAAGGACCAGAAAATTGGGTTGAATTTTGCACGAGTACCTGCATCAAAATAAATTATGAGGAGCAAAAACATCATATATTCTTCAAAAGATGTGGTTAGCTTTGGTATGAAAGACAGACACCTAATCAGTAATACTTGTAGGTTTTAGAATATCATTAACGATATCATGCATCTTTTCCCATCCTGTATCAGGTGATGTGGGTTGAACATGCAGAAATAGAGGACAAACCAGTGCATAATGTATTCGATCAACTCGTTAGCAGTGGTGTTGCCTTTGGAGCAACAAGATGGCTCTCCATCTTGCAACGACAGTGTGAATGCCATGCAAGCCTCATGGTTCGAAAAATTCCTGATCTCGGAGGTTGCCATTCTTTAGCCAACAATCTCTTTTAAATTGTTTAATGTGTTAATTGCATATACAAACTATTTTGAACACCAGGCAACATAATTGCCTGCTAAGTTGAGATGTCACGCGATAATCACATGATTCTCTGGTGATATCTCAAACTAAGCACGGATATAATAGTGTAGAAGTGGCTACATCTCCAAAGTACGTGTGGTTTTTCTGAAGTCAATCCTAGTCTAATTGTTGTGTGGTAGTAATTCTCACTCAAGGCTTTTTGGTATTCAGTTATCCCTTCAGCAGATGCAAGGATGAATTTTATGAAGCTTTCACAACGAATGGTTAAGATTTTTTGTTCTAACATCAGTTCAGCCAGCAATCAATCATGGGCTGCACTCTCTGAGTCTTCTGATGATATAACTAGGGTAAAGACTCAGAAAAATATTGAACCAGGACAGCCCACTGGAGTTATACTTACTGCAGTTTCTACAGCATGGCTTCCATTTTCTCATCAACAGGTGTTTGATCTTTTGGCCAATGAGCAACGGAGGTCTCAGGTAAATTTTGATGTTTTTTGTTCATATTTGTTGATGATTTTTAATTAGAACTTTTAAGGAATGTATTTTAACCATTTTGGCAGCTTGATGTTCTTTCCAGCGGGAGCTCATATCATGAGGTTGCTCACATTGCGAATGGCTCATACCAAAAGAACTGTGTTTCCCTTCTGCGCATAAATGTGAGTTCTTTTGCTCTTTAAGTAATATTCATTCTTCTGTTATTTGTCGCCTTATCCAGTTTGTATACTTATGTTAGATTCGGAAAGACAAACTTCTTTGATAGGAAGATGGTAGAAATAAGCGATAGGTGTTTATCTTGCTTTAATGAGCACATAAAATATAAGCCGGAAATTGAATAACTGTAATAGAAAACTATTTAATCCCTGAATTTCTTGAAATGTACACATATAAGCTGGTGGGTTGCATTTTTCCTTTGCTTATGATAATTTCATACTTAAATTTGACTCTTTAAGCAAATTAAACATAGCCTTTAGTCAGATTCCATATATTTGGTATTTGCTACATCAACTTCTAGTATCTCAATACACGACACAAAGAATATTCAACTTCCCCTTCAGCAATGCTTATTATTCTTAGGAAAAGGAAAAATTGAGCTACATAATATCCATATGAAAGGCATCTGAAGTTTGTCAATAAATGTCAGAAGAAAAAGGCTATGCTAGTGAAGAGATGGCAGCAGCAAGAGCAATCAATGATGCCCTCTTAAAATGAATATTGGAACTCTAGAGCTCCATCCAGGCTGTTTTTATGTTGTACGTTTTCTTTTAGTTTCTGTTAAAATTTAGGAAATCATATATAGGCGAGGGTCCCTTAATTCCTAGCAGAAAAAATGGTACACATACACAGCTCATTTATTGTTTTGTAACATCCATCAATCGAAGGGCATATTCTTTGATGAAATTGGATATTTTGCTCCATTCACAGTAATCTACATTTTATTACATTTTTCATACAAAAAACATGTATATTTATGATTTTAGTGGTGGTCCCCCCCCTAAAAACTACCTTTGAAATAGGGTCATTCTAGGGAAACCATCTTTGATCGCCAATTTATATATAAACCACATTTAAACGGTTTTGTTACGATCAACCGCATGCACTCACTTTTAAGTCGAGTCTTTTTGATTTTTCTATAATAATTATTTGTCAAATACCAAGTTTATAGAGATATGATCCTTAATGGGGATTAGATGAAAAATTAACTAAAGTGGATCTATGTGGTTTCTATAGACGACCTTATTTTAAAGGTGGTTTCTTGTGGGTGGGGGTGGGGGTGGGGGGACCCTTTTAGTGATACATCAAGTGATGATAAAATGAATGGGTTTTCCACAAATTACTTTCTCATAAACTGTACGTTAGATGCTATAGGAATCCATAATTATTTTGTCCTATGGAATTTAGTAATGAGTTCATACATTTTATTGGGTGTTATAATTAGCTGGTGTCCTGAAACTGTTTTAAAAGTCTCTTCTTTTCTTCATATTATTGATGATACTGTAAAACACAATTAGCTCGTGGGGAAATTATTCAAATTTAACTTGAAATTCTTTTATTAGTCTCCCTATCTTGGACCCCTCGCATTTGTACTTGCTTTTCTATTCACAAAATTATTTTTTTAATCTCATTATCACAGCCTATATTCCTCCTCAAAACTATCCCCATCAAATGCTATTGCATATCCTCCTCTAAGTGCCAACGTAAAATGCATGCTTGCAGGCCCCAAGCAACTCCTCCAGTGTAGAGCCCCTCCTACAAGAGAGCAGCACCCATGACTCCGGTGGCAGCATCATCGTCTACGCCGCTATCGATGTCCATGGCGTCCAGGTCGCCATGAGCGGCGAGGACACCTCCTTCATCCCCCTCCTCCCCACCGGCTTCGTCCTCCTCCCTGCACCATCTCAAATTTCCCCATCAGACGAAAATGTCGACGGTTCAGTCATTGGTTGTTTGCTCACCGTCGGCGTGCAGGTTCTGGCGAGCACCGTGCCGTCAGCGAAACTGGATTTATCTAGTGCTTCTTCTATTAGCGCTCATCTCCGCAGTGCATTGCGGCAGATCAGCGCAGCACTCGGTGGCGGTGGAAGTGGTGGCGGGGCCCGCGCAGATTCGGAGCCCGAATCTGCTTGAAATTACGGAGACGCCCTTCCTCGGGATTCAGTCTTTTGGTTTAAGATTTACGAAAGTGCCCTTTTGAAGATTTTAGATTTGAGAGGGTGTTTGACGAGGGATCACCAGTAAAATGAGGACAATGCCCCTTGGAAAGATACGGAGGGCGCATTTTCTTCATTTTATTCTCGTATACGTAGCAGTTTCATAATATATTTTGGAAGCGTATTTTTGTAATTTTGATATGCAAGTGAAAGGGCATTGTAAAAATACCACGTGTGATATTTTTGACCGAGTCTGGCTCTAGCCCAAGTTAGCATACTTCTGGCTTGGGAATTTCTTGCTGTTATCTACATGTGGGTGTCTATTGTTCTCTTTCCTATTATTACAGACTTTTAGTTAAGCGCATATTATAATTACAATCGTCTATAAACTAGAAGATGATCAAAATGGTTTCCTAGTGCATGTTTGAAGGCTTTTGGATTATAATCCGTGTGGGTCATAATTTGTTTGTGGATTATAATCTAGAGCGTTTGGTAAATTTAATGGATGATAATTTGTTTTTTTTTTTATTTTGATCGCGTCTTTGGCGCGCATGAGAATCTAGCTCAGGTCTTTCTACATCGAGCAACAAATGCTTTGCGGTGCGACCTATTGGGCCGCCCCAATAATAATCTGTTTTTAATAGTAGAAATTTTGATTAATGGGTAGATGATAATCTATTTCTATTATTAAAATGAGGATATGAGCATGTTGGTAAGTTATTAGATGCATTAGGTGTTCTATCAGAGCTGTCTGCATGTGACGGTTTAGTTGTGAGTTACGGAACAATGCGGCGGATTTCTATTTTGCCCCCTATTTGTTTTCATGGGAGGGAACAGAACTAAGTGGGTTTGAATTTGGAGTAATTACTCAAACAGGACGATGAAAAAAGCCAATCAAAAAGAATATTCTCCCTGAATCAAACAGTAGTTAATTACATGGACTAATTTTAAACTACTAATATTAGCTGTTGGGCTAAATAGCAATTTCAATAGGGCTAGTGGGTAAATGTCAAAATGACAAAGATTTCCAGCGGTATCGTGTAGTGACACGTGGCGCCGTCACCAGATAGTTAATAATATCCACCCTCTCCTTCAAATTTCCCCCCATATTTTTCTTCGATCGTAATAAAGCTAGGGTTTTTAGGGTTGTACAACGGCGATGATTTCAGGGCGTATGAGATGTGGAATCCCCTTCTTCCAAAGGATTCTCAGGATGGCGGAGGCTGCTCAGTCCCTTGAAAACCCTAGCGCCGTCAAGCGCCAGGTATCCAAACCCTAGATCCGTTGCCATCCTGTTAAGTGATTGGTTTACTAATTGATCGAGTATTCATCTTCAATTTAATGAAAATTGTGCCAAAGAGTCATTTTGGTAAGATAATTGGTTGGTAAATCCAGCATATGGATGTAATTTGCCCTTAATAGAATGCAAATTATGCTGAATGTCAGTTTGCCACCAAAAAAATTCTTTTTTAAGCATTTTTGGGTATTAAATTTTGTGCATTTTGTAGTTATATAGTCTTTTGTTACTGTGTTCTTCTTGCTTGCCTTTAAAAAAACACAACATATGCACATATGACATGCTTTGTCTAGACCACTACTTCTCATGTATAACGGTTTTTTCCCTTCTAAGATCTATTAATAGATATATGCAAGCATTAGTAACTTATAAATGTATTCTTTTGTACTGTGCTATCGGACAAAGCCCGCCCTGAGTATACTAAGTCTGGACTTGTTTTGTCTTGTTATGCATATTTTCGATCCAGGTTCATGGGGTAGATTTCGATCCGAAAACCTAATTTTTTTGATGTTTAGACGGGTCATTGTCACCCCCAATTCTGTTGTTTGAAATCAGGAGAATAAACCTTTTGTCTGTGTTTTGTATCAGTTGGACTTATGTAAGTTGGTATTTAGTATTTACATACAACTTTAGCTATTATGCATTGTGTGCCATCACAATATTTCTTTATCGAGTGTTGTTCAACTGGATTCCTTTTTATTAAATATGATACTTACTCAACCAAATTCTGTTTTGTTTTGATTATGTTTATGTAGCTTGTAGGTATAGAAGATTATTTGTTAAGTTTAGATCTTTGTACTTTAATTAAAATAGTTTTGATATGGCAGTTGTTACCTCCCCAAACTAGTCAACTGGCGAGACATTCACATCTCACACTTGGTGCATTTCAAAGATACAGCTCTTCTTCAACATCTCGTGAACCGAATGACAAGGAGTCTAACCAATCTCAGGATAGCAATAATGAGTCTACAAAGACGAACAATGAGACTGCAGCTCCAGAGCAAACAGAAGTTGCAGGTTACAGTTCTGAATCCAAACAGCCAGAGCCCCAGTCAACCAAAAAGAGGAGGAGTACTAAACGAACTAAATTTTCTGATTCAGATACAGAGCCTGATCTATCTGCTGATGATCTAGTAAAGGTAGTTGCAGAGAAGGAAGAGCAACTGAAATTGAAGCATAAGGAGATTGAGAAAATGCAAGATAAAGTTTTCCGCAGCTATGCCGAAATTGAAAATGTTCTAGACAGGACAAAACGTGAGGCGGAAAACACAAAGAAGTTTTCAATACAGGTCCTTACAGTTCTGACTTTTTGTTCTCTAATTGCATGACCCATTGTCTTGACATAAAGGCAAATTCTTGACATAAAACATTCTATATTTGGATTATGAGCAGAACTTTGCTAAGAGCCTTTTAGACGTTGCTGATAATCTTGGAAGAGCTTCATCTGTTGTTAAGGATAGCTTTTCTAAGATTGACTCATCCAAAGACACTGTTGGAGCTGTGCCACTTTTAAAAACTCTGTTGGAGGGTGTGGAGATGACTGAGAAACAACTGGGAGAGGTATTTTAACCTTTCTTCATGCTTGTATAATGCCTTCTTATTGCTTATATTTTACATGAGTAGCTTCAGAGTTCAGACATATAGTTACCTTTTATATTCTTCTATTATCTTTACTATTGTGATAACTCTAAGAACTTAAGTATCTTCAACTTTAATTCAAAATCAATGTAAAGTGCATGTTGGTGTAGATATTGTGGCAATACGTCTTACTTTTTTCTTGTTCGTCATCATGTTGCTAAATGAGTGTAAATCGTGTCGTGTTCTTTTTATTATTGTATACGTGGCACCCAAAATCCTTTTGCTTGAACTGACTGGTACAGATGTACGCTATTCCTAATTGTCAAATTTAGGATCCCTAATTGTCAAATTTAGGATTCAGGAACACTTCTGTACGGATACACATGCGTAAACATACCATATACATATTTGATTCGAAACACTTATATACATGTATGCACAAGAATAAACATAGCATTTACATCTTTGATTCAGAAACACCTTTACACTGATACACAGACATAAGCTATGTTACCTAGGTACTTCTAATCTAAAGCCATACCTGTACCGAGCATGTATCCATGCTCGTAACAGTACCCAAACTCCTTGGACACTCCTTGCACATATGCATACATCGAGCATGTATTCAATTATACAATACATCTTTTAATTTAAAATGCTTGTCATACATTATTTGGACATATCCTACATTTCACGTACATTCTTGGAACTCATTGGACATAGATCAGATTACGAATTATGATTTTGAAGGGTCATTTGGATATATAGTTTAAAAACTAGTAATTTTCCTATTTATAATCCACATAATAAAAGAAACATAATAATGTTATAGGAATTTTTAATTCTCATCCTTATTCTCATATAAAGTATCAATTCCAATATATATATATATATATATATATATATATATAGAGAGAGAGAGAGAGAGAAATATGGAGAAACTTGGTACAAGTTTCTCCATTGAACTTGATAGTGAGGTGGCTAAATCCCCACCTTACATCACACCTTGAAGCAGATAGCCTCACCTACTTTTAAAAAGAGACTCTATTTTCAAGGTGTGATGTAGGGGGGGGGGGTGATTTGCGCTACCTCACTACCAAGTTCACACGAAAGAACTTGGTACCAAGTTTCTCCATATTTCTCATATATATATATATATATAATATATATATATATATATATATATATATATTATATATATTATATATATATATATATATATAGAGAGGAAGAGAGAGAGAGATAGAGTATGCTGCGTACCAAGCACAAATTTTTGTGCTTGGTAGTGATGTGTCACATCCTCATCCACTCATTATCCATGTGAATTTGTTCCACATTTGAAGAGTGTGATGAGGATTTGACACCTCACTACCAAGCACAACTTTTTGTGCTTGGTACCAAGCATACTCATATTTCTCATATATATATATTATAATAATATATATATATATATATATATATATATATATATATATAATTCCAATATCATCCTTGTACCCTACCTTTTACAAATTTGCCGTGTCCCGTACCTATACCACTATACCAGTACCCGTAAAAACATACCCATGCAACATAGGACATTAACATACCCTCTACCTCTTTGATGTGTGGAAAGTCGAATGACTTAAGTTTATCACGGCGCTCTATACCTTTGGACATGCCCAGTGTTGAAATATGCTGATCCTGTAGGAGTGCCAGTATGTTGGTATCTGTCTAGGTTTTGGAAAGTGCTGCACACTGCTATTCATCTACAATGGAGATATTTGAAGTGTACAAAAATTAGATTTTTGGCATTGGTTTCACAATTGCGGAATTACTCAACTGTTCAGGATCCTTCCAAGTACCTGGAAGGCTGCAAGAATCCCATAAGAACTGTAAGCTTGCGATGGGTAGATGTATATGTGTTTGACATTGGTGATGACCACAATGAAAGATCCAGCTATTGCTGTCCTGTGTTTCACGCCCTCAAGCGAGCAAGAAACTTTACAGTGTTCATTGTAGCATTCGTACACTTGTTTAAATAACAACGATGCCCTCTCTCCATTAGGGCTTTCCATTTTTTTAAACAGCAAACTCAATTTAAGTGTTCATAGGAGTGTAATTTTTGGAATATCCCTTTTTGTCTTCAAAGTTCAAACTATGTGCTTTGATTTGGTCATAAGATACAGATACCTTCTTGTGAAAGCAGACAGCTCCAAAAACCATCTATATCCATCTTAAATCTATCCTTTGGTCATATTAATGGAGGCCATAGTGATTACTATGATGGAGTGTGGGAGACTTGTCCTTTTGCAATGGGATTAAATGGCGGAAGCTTATAAAAAGAGACACGGGAAGGTTAAAAGTTGCATTTTATTAATTGTGCTACGGTTCTTTTTGTTCCTTTCCAATCTCGATTATAAAGAAACTATCCATCATTACAGTTATAATTGTTTTAATGCATTGCATGATTTTTTTAAATTACTTTGATAATGAGAAACTTACTGAATATTTTACTTTTCAGGTGTTCAGGAAATTTGGGGTGGAGAAATTTGATCCCGTGAATGAACAATTTGATCCGAACAGGCATCATGCTGTATTCCAGATCCCTGATGCTTCAAAGCCACCTGGCTCTGTTGCTGCTGTTCTGAAGGTACGCATTCAAGAATTTAGCTGCTTCATGCGGGTAGGACTGTAAATAACATTTGATAACCTGATGACATGATCCAATTCATTAATAGAAAATTGTATAAAATTACATTGATTGATGTAGTTAAAAAAAAGGTCATGGTGATTATTAATGTCAGGAAGAAAATGACCCTCAACAGAATTGTGTGGACAAAAATCATGACCGTTCATACCCAAACAATTTGGTAGAAGACTTTTCCATTGTAGAAAAATATATAATCTTGCAGATTGATGTGAGGTATGAACGCATAGCTTTCCTAACATTTGTCTGTCCCTTGCATGTTTGGCTCGTGTTTACATCAAGGAGAAGAGAACTTGCCCTGATTATGTTTACTCATAGACCATTTGTTTCAATTCACTGGTCGTCTCATTTTTTCCTTAAAGAATAAAAATAAATAACCATATACATTTTCTGCTTTTTTTTCCTCCAATTGCAGCCTGGTTACATGATATATGATCGAGTCCTTCGTCCAGCTGAAGTGGGGGTTACCGATGCCACAAACGAATAATCTGATAAAAGACCAGCTGAAGTAGGGGTCACTGATGCCACAAATGAACAATCTGATAAAAGTCCTGAGCATGAAAGCTTAAGTGAGGCCACTCAATTTTGTGGCTGTAGACTTCCCAGTTATTTGTGTAATCTACTGGTCACTGGAGTTAGCTTTTAACCTTGTCGACATCAGACGCATTAGCAATAAGCGAAAAGTTCTATTTGTCGAAGGGAGGTTTGCTGTTTGGTTAGCGTGCAACACTCTGATGGTCATAAGGGCATCTCCAACCCAGCCCCATTTTGGTGCAAACAGTGCTTTTTGTTGCACTGTTCTTTCTCCAATTCAGCCCCATTTTCTGCTCCATTTTGGTGCAAATGAACAGTGCTGTACCAAATATGGCGTTGCACTGTTCATCCGCCCCATTACTGTTCACTTTTTAAAAAAAATTTAACTATTTGTTTTTACCTCTCAATTAATATAAAAATAGATAAAAGGGAATAAAGTGAGAATATACTGAGAATATAAAAATAGATAAAAGGGAATAAAGTGAGAATATACTGAGAATATTCTTTTTTGGTGTAAAAAATGGTGCAATGGGTTGGAAAGTGAGAATATACTGAGAATATTCTTTTTTGGTGTAAAAAATGGTGCAATGGGTTGGAGATGTATTACTATTTGATGTGACTTTTGCACCATTTTGATGCAATGGGTTAGAGATAGTCTAAATCCAGCATTTTCTTTCAGGTTTCATTGCAAAGAAAGTGTAAGAAGCCGGGAAATATTTTCTCATGGGGGCACTGACATGGTGCAGGCTCTACAGGAATAATCTGATTGAGAATGACTTTGTTGGTTTATTACGAGTCCTGATTTCATGGGGCACTGACATGGCGCAAGTCCAGGAGTGTGTACGAACCAAATGATTAAAAAAATAATTCATTAATTGTTTGAGGAAGTATTTCGACACATTCAATTCGATAGTTTATTGAACAGTAAAAATAATAATTTATAGTATTCGTCTTCATAAATGAATTCCATATGTATATTCGATTTGTTTGCTTATCAAATATTTATTTGAATTATTATGCAGGTGAGGTTATATTTTCAACCCATTTGCAAACTTTACTGAAAATTTTATGTACTAATTTTGATAGGCTTGAAAAATTTTAAGTGAGTTTTCCAACGAAATATTCAATTACGAGGAGTAATTTTCAATTGTGAATTTAAGTGGTATTTGAATATATTTTCCTTACCAAATGGATATACTTTAATATTTGATAAATATTCTTAAGTATTTCGAAAGCTTTCGGAAATGATTATTTGGATTTAGATTCGAATTCGACAATTTAAACTAAATACAAATTCAAATACCTAACTAAGTATTCGATTTAATTCATTTCGTTTCCAGCGCCAACTCCAGCAAATAATGAATTTTTATATACAAGATTATAGTATATAATATCCGGTAACTATTCGTTTCAGAACAGCTGTATCACGTGGGGGGTTAACGTGAAGTGAAAATTGCCGAGGGTCGCCGAGAGTCAAATTTTGATCCGTATAATCCTCTAGTTTCCTGCTGGCCCACACAAATGAGCCCATTTTAACTACACAAATTCGTGTTTCGTATTAGTTTTATATGTTGATTGTAGTAATTTAAATTGATAGTAGAGTTGCACCACGTTCTCCGTCTCCCTTGTCATTTTCTGTAGTTGACCTTAGCTTTCGGCTTTCCTTTTGTTTTTGTTTTGTTTTGTTTTTCTCGGAGTTTTATTTTAACTTTTGCTAATAAAATACAATGTTTTTTTATTGAGAAAATAAAAATATTAAAACAAGCCATAAATATAATCACGGATGAACCAAGGAAAAAAACAATAATTGTATGATCCAACGAGAAATGATAGAGGCGCACCCTCAATCACATCACCGATCACACCCCTCCCTTGCTACAGTATAAGAGGTGTGGTCGGTGATATGACTGACGGTGTGCTTATAGGGCCACTCTAATCCAACCCTAGAGAGCATGAGGACCGAATGAATGGCGTCCCCACCTCGGCGAATTCGATAACAATGATAATAAGCTCCACTTTGGACCAAATAAAAATAACATTTTCCTCCCATTTAGATAACAAGCGTCAACAGCAATATTAAATTAGTAAGCCTCCAACAAGGCATAAGAAAATAATACGAACATACCCCGGTGGAAATTAAAAAAATAAAAATTTAAAAATAAAAGTTAGTAAGTTACATCACCAAAATAGTCTATAAACCACTTATAGGTTGTAAAACAACTGGCTACATTGCTTATGCATCGTACACAAATTTCTAAAAATACAAAGATGCTCATACTGAAATATTTCATCCCAAAAATGGACCGCCTTCGTACAAAATATCCTCTATAAATAAAGTAGTAAATCATCAAGTTGGCGCTGGAATTTTATTTCTCACCCAACTCTCCTAATTATTACTAATAATAGAGACGCTAAACCTGTCCCCATCCAAAAGATACTAAATATTCATGCACTAAAAAAAACCCCCACCCCAAACTTCCCCACTAAAACACAAAACATGAGCACCCACTTTCTCAGCCACTCGAGGGTCACCTTTTCTGTTGTGGAGGGGGAAAATAAATTCATGTGAAAACACATACATATATAGCTGTTAAATATCTATATGGTTTACGACCAAAGTATTGAAGCAAACATTGTAATTAACTTGGGTGTGTTTGGTTTAATTTCTACAAATTATAGGAAATGTTTTCCACCCAAAATATGATTTTCTTGTATTTCTTAAAAAAATTATAGGAAAAGTTTTGAGAAGTAAAAAAAGCACCAATTTTCTTGTTTTTTTTTTACTTTGCTTGTTTGGTTCAAAACAAGTAAATGACCCATAAATATATAGAAAATAGCGGGATTTCCTATAATTTGTAGAAATTAAACCAAACACCCCCTAAATTTATAGAAAAGTGTCAATGTGGTGTCAGGTTTCTGGGTGATTCCCGCCCATTTTGAGAGGAAATTGATTTCTGTAAATTTTGATATTTTTTTGTATTTTACAGAAAATATTTTTTTAAATTTTTTATAAACAAAACACGGTTTACGAAAATCTACAGAAAATTTTTAATCACAGAATTATCATTATCAGACATTTTGAGAAAACTTTTCTATAAAATTACGCAGCCAAACACCCCTTAAGTATGTGAACCAATACCTAGAATATCTTGAGTATATTATAACCACTGTTTTAAATATCGGCCGATAACCGATATTATCGGCCGAGTTATCGGATTTGGGAGCTCTCCGATAGGATAACTTGGATTTTTAATCGGTTATCGTTTTTGGTAAGTTATCGGAGAGTTATCGGCGTTATCAGTACTTATCGGCCGATAAGTAAGGTTTTTTTATCGGGATTATCGGCCGATAAGTAAGGCTATGCAATCGAATGGTTTCATCGTGCGGTCAAGATGCAAGTTTTTCTATCTACAATTGGTTAGTGATTCTAAACATGATGATTTACATTTTGGTATGTTTATATTTCATTAAGCATGGTTAGATTACATTTTTTAGTTATTATATTATATATATACACCATCTAGTATATCACTCCGATAAATACTACTTATCCCCGATATATCCCCGATTTCCGCTATCTGATAAGAATTTTGGTCGTCCGATAAATTCCCGATAACCGATATTTAAAACCTTGATTATAACCGTCTTAATCTCCTAATTAATAAATTTAAGATGAATTTTAATGATCAAGATAGCTTATCTTTTCGTGAATATGAAAAATATATTAATGAACTCCATTAGGCACCCAGCGGTCACTATTTGGGTCCCAATAGAGCCCGCGCATCATTACCGAAAGATACTCCATCCTCGTACATCCGATCCCCTATATATATAAAAAAACCCAGATCTCCGATTCCCTCAAAACCCTTAAAAAAAAGGTGCTGGGGGAAAAAAAAACGCCGGCGATGGAGATCGTCCTCCGCCGTCGCGGCCGCCGGAGGGGACGCATCCTCGGACGACGTCTCCCCCATCGAGCAGGTGCGGCTCACCGTCCCCACCACCGACGACCGTCGGTCCCGGTCTGGACCTTCCGGATGTGGTTCCTCGGCGTGCTATCGTGCGCCCTGCTGTCGTTCCTGAACCAGTTCTTCTCCTACAGGGCCAGCAGCTGGTGATCACCAGATCACCGTCCAGGTGGCCTCGCTGCCGGCGGGAAAGTTCCTGGCCGGCGTTCTGACTTCTGCCGACGAGGAGGTTCCGGGTCCCGGGGTTCGGGGGCCGGGAGTTCTCGCTGAACCCGGGGCCGTTCAACATGAAGGAGCACGTGCTGATCTCGATATTCGCGAACGCGGGCTCGGCGTTCGGGAGCGGATCCGCGTACGCGATCGGGATCGTGAACATTATCAAGGCGTTCTATCGGAGGCGCATTTCGTTCGCCGCTGGATGGATGCTGATCATCACGACTCAGGTGAGGGTTTGACCGGGGGTAAAAGCTGGGATTTTTTTTTTTTACCGGGGGGCTTTTTTTTTCCCCCTGGGGCGGTGGGTGTGCTTGTTTGTAGGTGTTGGGGTACGGGTGGGCTGGGCTGATGAGGAGGTACGTTGTGGATCCGGCCCATATGTGGTGGCCCGGCACGCTGGTTCAGGTCTCGCTTTTCCGGTGAGTTCTCGGGGGCGGTAAACTTAAAAGTTAATTAATCGTTAGATAATATTATCCTTATCTACGTAGCTCTATCTACTCTTCTATACTTAAAAGAGGATGATCTGTCCTTTATGTATAAAGAAGTAAATTTACCCGTTTATCTTTTTACGTGTACTGCACTGGATATGATTTCTAATTTCAAGCATACGATTTTTAATTTTAAGCATGTGATAATAAAATAGCACTGGATATGATTTCTAAAAGAGTCAGGTTCAAAATATAATGCTTAAAAAAACAGTGAGCCGTGCAAAGCACGATGTACACATTAGTATTAAAATATTAAAAAAGTTGCTTTTTTTTTAAAGTTGAGATTTTATCAGAGAAATGCCCTTTTTGATTTTCCGATAACGAAGAATTTTTTTTTTGGGTCTAATATATTGAAAGTTGTGGCTGATATTTAGCATAATAAGACTTCAAATTATCCATAGTTTTCTGACATCATTATATATATACTTCATTTCTCCGCTAAATTAAGAATGAACGAGACCGCCGTACGAGGCAAACCCCGCTGGCGTCGTTGGGTGTGTGTTTAGAATAGTATTTGTACCCACGCAAAACAAGACTAAGGAGCACACCGGCCGCTTGGGCCGGTTAACGAGCCCATCTTTCATGGGCCTCCAATTTTAAGATAAATCTTTTTAGACGAGAAAGTGTTATACGATCAAAGGGTTGTTAACTGTTGAATCTATGCGAGAATCCTGAAGTTTTATTTTATGATGATCTAAGGTTTGATATTATTTAGATGAACACTTGATGTTATGGGCCCACAACCGATTAATGCTTTCCCTTTTCATCTAAAAGAAGCACTACTATTAAATATTGCAAACCAATCGAAGTGGCTTTAAGGGAGTACTTGTTGCTTTCATACTTTCTGGCGGCCTGCCGTCGTCAGTCTCAAACGGTCGGAAGAATGCGAAATATTTAGGGGACTGATGCTTGAAAATACGACCGATGGCCGTCAAGCCACAGAATTACTGCAGAAAGAGAATTCACACCTAAGTGTTTCCGAGTATTGCGTCAGCAAACTGATTTTTTTTTAAGAAGGCTAAATGGCGGTTAAATATCCTATCTTTTCAGCACCTTTACATTTAAAATCCTAAATTGTAAAAAATAACACTTTAATACTCTAATTTGTAAAAAAATTGGCACATTAGACATTTTGGCAGATGTCATGGATCTTTTAATAAAGTGCTACTTTCTTACAACTTAGCGTATCAAAGTGTCATTTTTTTTACAACTTAAGATATTAAAGTGTTGCTTTTTATAAGCTAAGAATATTTAAGTGTAAAGGTGAACAATAGAGTATTTAAGTGCTAGTTTTTCACAGCTTAAGAGTATTAAAGTGCTATTTTTTTACAGCTTTGGGTATTAAAGTGCTACTTTTTTACGACTTAGGGTATCAAAGTGTTATTTTTTACAACTTAGGGTACTTAAGTGTAAATGTGGTGAGACAATAGGGTATCTTAGTGCCATTTTAGCCTTTAAAGAAAAGTAATGCTTAGAGCTACTTTACTACTTTAATTGTACCATTTTCTACTTTAAAGTAAATGACAATAGATAGTAGATTTGTTTTGTTCTGTTTTGATGAGAGGATCGACCTTGTTATTCTAATTGTGTGTTAAGAGACCGATCTAATGTTATAACACAGGCAGCAGTACTCTATGTACCCTTTTATTGGTAGACCTGTTTATTTTATTAGGATCCATTTTTGTTAGTAGTAAAGTAATGTGTATAGTTAGTGTTACTCTTTTTTCCTTCTTTAATAACACTCCCATTTATTTCTTAACAATTTGTTATGTAACAAATGCAACTATCTGTTTTGAGAAAAAACTGTGAGGCTTAAGCCCCCTAAGGTTTCATTAAAAAGACAATAATGAATGCAGCAATCTATTTTCTTCATGTTATCTTTCACCTTTCAGTACCTGGTATTTTTTAAGATTAATATAAGCCCTCAGGTTCTCGATTTTGCTAAGTTTATAGGGTTGTCCTTCTCTTTCAATACTTGCTATTACTTCCTCTAATCTTTAATACTGTAAATCTTGAGAATGTGTGTTACAAGATTGATTAAAATACCAGGGTCCTGATTTTGCTTAGTTTGCTTTAGATATGTCATAATCGTAATATTTATCCAGTTAGTATAATTTTCTACAGTTTATTTTTTGAAATTTCCCACATAATAGCTACCTCATGTGATATATTTTTTTTATCCCTCTTACATAGTGAAATTTAATCCTGATGTTCTAATTTCTTAACCAACATCCCATATTATATAACGACAGTTTAATACCTTAGCGGACAAAACAAAACCTTTCTTCACCATTGCAATTTCAGAACTCAATGTAAAATGGTGGTATGTACTATGTATGCTTGTTTCTAACATAAATGTATCTGCTTCATACCTGCAGAGCTCTGCACGAGAAAGAGAACACACGATCCTCACGAGCCAAGTTCTTCACCATCGCCCTCATCTGCAGCTTTGCATGGTATGCTGTCCCTGGCTACCTCTTCCAGACACTCACAACTGTCTCATGGGTCTGCTGGGCTTTTCCTAATTCAATCCGGGCCCAACAAATAGGATCAGGGATGAAAGGCTTAGGCCTCGGAGCCTTCACTTTAGATTGGAGCGCAGTCTCCTCTTTCCTCCAGAGTCCTCTCACCTACCCTTTCTTCTCTATCTTCAATGTCTTCATCGGATACATTTTCATGATTTATATTGCCCTTCCAGTTGCTTATTATGTTTTCAACCTCTATAATGCGAAGAATTTCCCTATTTTCTCGTCACATTTGTTCAAGGCTGATGGAAACGTGTACAATATCACCCAGATCGTGAATAACAAGTTTGAGATTGATATGGAAGCTTATCAACAGCAGGGGAAGATCAATTTGAGCATGTTCTTTGCTATAAGTTACGGATTTGGGTTCGCGACGATTGCTGCTACTCTTACTCATGTAGCCTTTTTCTATGGAAGGTATGCTTCTCTGTTTAACAATAGTTAACATTGTTTTATTGACAGTTTGCTTAGTTCTTAGTAAAAATTTTTGTTCTTTATTTTCATGGCTTCTATCTGTTCAAACCTTGTTTTCCAATAAAAATAAATAAACCTTCCAGCTTTTTTTGGATTTTGATGGATAATCGACACCCTGAAACCACATACAATGTAATTTACAAAAGATGAAACTTTGTCCAAGGCCATGCTTGATGGTCAATAAGAAAAAAATATATATTTATGATTGATATTGAATACACTCAATAGTCTTTGTCAAGCTGCGATGCAGCCTCTTGTAGATAAGTGATATAGTCTACATTGGTGTCGCCAGAAAAGCAGCACCAAAATACTATACATAAAGGCATAACAGGGAAGCATTTAGCACACTTTCAACCAAATTACAGTTACAATCTGCTTAATTCTATACACAACCCAATTTACTGTTTTCGTATAAATTGAATATATGCACGCAATTGAAAATGTGCAGGGAAATATATGAACGATTTCGAGCTTCATATAAAGGAAAAGATGATATCCACACTAAATTGATGAAGAATTATGAAGATATACCTGGGTGGTGGTTTCATTTGCTTCTGGGGCTAACAATTACGGTATCTCTTATCCTCTGCACAGTCTTGAAGGATCAAGTTCAGCTTCCTTGGTGGGGGCTCCTCTTTGCATGTGCCATGGCCTTTTTCTTCACTCTCCCCATCAGCATCATAACTGCAACCACAAATCAGGTTAATAGATTGATTATCTAAATTATTTCTATAGTAGTTCATTTTTCATGTATTGCTAACTTTTTACTATCTTTTTTTCTATAAACCCAGACTCCAGGACTGAACATAATCACAGAATATGTCATGGGTCTCATACTTCCTGGAAGGCCAATTGCCAATGTCTGCTTCAAAGTTTATGGATACATGAGCATGTCTCAGGCAGTTTCTTTCCTCGCTGATTTCAAGCTCGGCCACTACATGAAAATCCCTCCCAAATCTATGTTCTTGGTTCAGGTATATGTTACCTCTAAATCCTATACCCTTTTTTTGCCAACTATTTTTACACCTTAATCCGCCTGTTCTTTTTCTTGAACAACCTAACACAATTTAGGTATTCTGTCAATGTCATATCTATATATTGGTCATCATCTCTGTATGTTATGATAAGCTGTTTATGACTGGTACCCTTTAGTTTGAACTCTTAATCTGAAGCAAATGTAGAAATTGATTGATATCTTCCTTTTACCTACCAAAAATTTGCAATCTGTGATATTAGTTTTGGCATATAATTCAAAAGTTTACAATAAACACAACATCAGCAACAGTCTTTTAGGCCTGCCTACATGAATCATTTTCTTAAGTTTTTCTCTGAAGGACCGTCTCCACCAAGTCAAAAACTATAATGTTGCTGCTTAATTATATGAAGTTCTAAAGTTCTAAATCCTAGAAGGGGCTATATCATGTTAGAGAATAAAATGTAACTCTCAACCCTCATAGCGGCTTCATAGTTTTAGTGTGGTGGCATCCTTTGACATCTTACGAGACAGAACCCATGTTCAAATCCCACTGACCTTGAATTTACACAAAAAAAAACTAGACAATGCTGCATGAGTCTAGGTTTCGGCATGGAGAAGGATACTCAATATGTTGCGCACGTTAGAATATGAAACCATACACCTCAATCTCACTATAACTTTGGAGTTTAGGCGTAGCGGCAGGGTCCTTTGACATGTCTTAATAGTACTTGTATAGCGAAAACAGGACGAGTTACGTACTAAAACCGAAAACTGGATCCTATCTCTGGATATGATAAGTTATATAAATCAGAGCTAATCACAGATAGACCCTACACTATGCCCGATTGAGATAGACTTCTCGAGTGAATTTTCTTTGACTATTTTACCCTCAGGAGCCGTTACATGTTTTTTTTTCCTTTGTGCACAGTTTGTAGGCACAATAATCGCGGGAACAATAAACCTCGTCGTCGCATGGTGGCTCCTCGGCTCCATCCCAAACATTTGCGTACCCGTAAACAGCCCGTGGACCTGTCCCGGCGACCGAGTCTTTTTCGACGCCTCCGTCATCTGGGGCCTCGTGGGCCCCCGCCGGATATTCGGCCCCCTGGGCAACTACGCGGCCATGAACTACTTCTTCTTCTTCGGCGCTCTCGGCCCGGTCATCGTCTGGCTCCTCCACAAGGCCTTCCCCTCTAAAACCTGGATCCCCTTGATAAACCTCCCAATCCTACTGGGAGCTACTGGCAACATGCCTCCTGCTACCGCCCTCAACTACAATGCATGGGTTGCTGTTGGAACCGTGTTCAACTTCTTCATATTTAGATACAGGAAAAAATGGTGGGAGAGGTATAATTATATTCTGTCCGCAGCGCTTGATGCTGGGGTGGCTTTTATGGCGG